TCTTTGGCCTTCCTCTTCGCCTCCTGCCTGGCAGCTCCATGTCCAACATTCTCCTACCAATATACTCACTCTCCCTCCTCTGAACATGTCCAAACCATCTTAATCTGGCCTCCCTAACTTTGTCCCCCAAACGTCCAACATGAGCTGTCCCTCTGATGTACTCGTTCCTAATCCTGTCCAACCTCGTCACTCCCAAAGACAACCTCAACATCTTCAGCTCTGCTACCTCTAACTCTGACTCCTGTCTCTTCCTCAGTGACACTGTCTCTAAACCATACAGCATGACCGGTCTCACCACTGTCTTGTACACCTTCCCCTTGATTCTCGCTGATATTCTTCTATCACACAGAACTCCCGACACCTGTCTCCACCCATTCCAACCTGCCTGCACTCGTTTCTTTAAGAAAATACATATGAAATTAATATTTTATATATCATTTTAATGCCACAACTGACAGACAAAGTTGTAGGTAGTTAAATTAAGCCAAAAACAGATATATTGAAAACTTCTGTTATATCAATGGTGGCACAGTGGCTTAATGGTTACCACACTTGCCTCACACCTCCAGGTCTGGGGGTTCAGTTTGAATGTTTTCCCCGTGCTTTGGGGGTTTCCTCTGGGTACTCTGGTTTCCTCCCCCAGTTCAAAGACATGTGTTGTAGGCTGATTGGCTTCTCTAAATTGTCTGTAGTGTGTGAATGAGTGTGTGATTGTGTGTAATTGTGCCCTGTGATGGGCTGGCACCCTGTCCAGGGTGTCCCCTGCCTTGCGCCCAGAGTCCACTGAGATAGGCTCCAGGCTCCCCGTGACCCTCTGTAGGATAAGCGGTGCAGAAGATGGATGGAAACATGTTAGACTGTAAAATTTTACAGGTGGGGGGTGGGGGGCACAGTTCCCCTGGGTACTCTGGTTTCCTCCCCCAGTCCAAAGACATTATCCATTATATATTATACAATTGTCCATAGTGTGTGTGCACGTGCAATTGTGCCCTGTGATGGGTTGGCACCCTGTCCAGGGTGTCTCCTGCCTTGTGTCCCGAGTCCCCTGGGATAGGCTCATGGTTTCCCCATGACCCTGTGTAGGATAAGTGGTACAGAGAATGGATGGATGGAATTCTGCAGATGTTCTAACAACATCTGCTGTAATAACAGTGTGCTTAACATTAGTATGTTGCTCACACAATATTCCCTGTTAGACAAAAGTAATATATGATAATGTTCCTACATTAGAATGTTGGAATGTTGAGGGAACACTTATAAACATTATATAAAATGTTCTCAGAATACCCAGGAAACCTCTGATGTCCTTGGAACCAAAAGTTTTGGAGAGCTGTAATGTTCAGTAAACCTTTGGATTGAGAGAACGTTCGAAATAGAAAAGTAAGTGCACCAGGGAAAGAATGTGAAGATCAATACATAGATGGTATATCTATGCATGTCATAACATGCCATACTGTAAAGCAGAACCTTCACTGCATTGCTCGTATGTTGCTTTATCTTATAGAAACACAATCAACAGTGGATTGCCTTTTAAGACCTAAATGCTGAGTTTGTGTCAGAAGTGAATGTAATTCCTGTTGCACTGCATTTCATTTCCATCAGTATGTTGCAGTAGTGCCAAAATAAAATGCAATCACTATCAAATCACAGCCCTAAGCCATACTCTGGGGTGTGGTAGTAATTGGAGGAGAGGAGAAGGGCCTGAAAGTGTCATTTGAACCATTTGAACCCTTAATCATCAAACTTTTCAGAATTATTACTAAAACATAATAAAAGTGTTAATATGAATAAAAATACAGCTTACAGCAGGACCTAGGAATAACAGAACATTTTCAGCTAACCTACAATTGTTAGCTGGGTTGTTATCACTCTTAACTACTGTATGTCCCACTATTTAAATCACACAGAGGTATTAAATACCAAGCGCAAAACACAAAACACAAAACACAAAACTTAATCATTTGAAGCTTCACCTTGACGGAATACAGGCCAAACAATAATGACAGCATGTTTTGGTAGCACCAACAGTTACTATATCATAGCCTTGAGTTTCACTGTATCATAAGGTAGTATGGAAAAGGTGTAGCTCATTTTTCTCACAGAGTGAGATATAACAACGCACTTCCGACATACTCCAGTGACTTTCTTGCCCCCGGTTTCTGTCATCTGTCTCAAACAATGTGTCCAGTTCAGCAGAGACAATGCACTTCCTCTCAGCAGGAGGGCCTTTAAGACTGCCTGATACACAATACACAGATAGAAATGGGGAGAGAGAGAGAGAGAGAGAGAGAGAGAGAGAGGATTGCAGCTTTTAAGATAGCTGAAATTCACTTTGGGAACCAATGCACTTACCACATGAGTGATACTGACTGTGTCATATTGTCTCTCTCTCTCTCTCTCTCTCTCTCTCTCTCTATATATATATATATATATATATATATATATATATATATATATATATATGTCTGTGTGTGTGTGCTATAAAAATATTTTTGGGGTGTTCAAAACAGCAGAATACAAAACTTAGTTTATATTTGTCACCAAATATACAGTACTTCTATATCAAGCCACTGGTTTTCTGTGAATGGCTGGGAAAAACAGGTTTGGAAGAAGTCCTTGTTTTAATTAGCAAAGGAAGAAGCTCAGAGCTGTGCAGCTGCTGATAAACTTCCGAACTGCCTGTTGGAGCAGCTAATTTGAGCTGGAACTCTCTATCTGGTCTGAATTAGAGTATTTTTCAATTCTTTTTCAAAGTGACACTCTTTGCACTACACTACAGCTCTTATTGCCACAAGAGCAATAAGATATAACATATACAAAAAGGAATTGTTGAGATTGTTATAATGTATCGCACAACCAAGAAACTAAGGTTTGTTAGTGCCATTTTTTTTTACAGTATC